ATTCCTGGTTCATGTTTCAAAGTCAAGGAAATATCTGTACTTCTAAATTCTTTCCAGCATTCATTTGACGCAACCTAACTTTACTGCCAAGGAAGCGTTTGCAAAAAGATCATTGTAAGTTTCTTATTTAGGTGTAGTCAAAGGAAAACATAAAATACATTGAATTGTGAAGAAGCAACCATGGGTAGAAGGAAAAAAAGAACTTTAAAAAGCTGGGACACATCAGTTCATTTGGAGACACACTCTATTATTACATCCATTCATTCATCAGGTGCCTTGCCGACTGGCGTGGGCGATCATAGGCTTCCACTTCACTCTGTCTTGCGTTGCAGGGATGGTGTCTCTCAGTCATTCTTGCTGTACCCAACTATGTTGTCAATCTGTCCAGTATCTTTTCCCTCTGCCTCTCTTTCCATCAAACTTGCCTTTTACAAAGATCAATCGGGCGTACCGCTACAAAGATAGACATGCTTTTGGTTGTTGTTATGCGGTTTTTAAAAATTAATGTCAATGCTTTTCATTTGGGAAGCAGGCTTCGACTCTGCTTGTCAGGGCCAACTTAGATTGAGAGAAAACACAACGTCCCATCAGAAACACCGAGGTGCTCGATAAAAAAAAAATCTCCCTAAATAGGAATCTAACTCAGGACTTGTGCATTCGACGACTAGACACCAAACCACTACACCACAGACGCCGGTAAATCGAGATTCATAGACAAGTACATCATCATCACACAGTGCTGTATCTGCGACAGACACCGGCAATCATACTTCTCCATTTATTCCTTTGTTCAGACCTTCTCAAACAACCTACATTATTCTGATCTGTCCCTGTCACCTATCTGTTTCGGCTTTTCAAATAAGCTACTGTGGGTCTATCTCTACCTCGTTTGCCTTCAGTATTGCCAGTGACAGCTTGATGTTCATCTAAGTCTATTCAAGTGTGTTGAGATAAATAGTTAACGAACAGTAAACATCACAAATGTGGGAGGTTGGCGGGTGCTCTGGTGTGGTTTGCTTCTTCTTTCATATGAAACATCTATTGTCCTTATCTCCCCTTCTTCTTTTTTATGCTTGTTACTCTCTTGTAACACCTCTAATCTTCTGGCGCTCAAATGACCTTATGTAGTTGCGAGCGCCGTAAAACCTCTACTAAAAAAAAACATCACAAAGGGTAGACGTAGCCTCACAAGCATAAAATGAGGGCAACAATAATACTAAACAAAAGTAAAGAAATAAAAGACATCGATCACATCAGATCACACATCAACCTCCCACTGATAGATGCAGAAATAGAAAGTATTTCAAAGACAGAAAATAAGAAAGAAGAAAAAAAAAAGGCGGGAAGAGAAGTGGGTGAAAATGATGAAAGGTAATATTAAGAAAGGCGAAAAAGAACGGAAAGAAGTCGTGGTGGAGATAGGATCGTGAAGGAAGAAAGGAAGGAAGGAACGAAGGAAGGGAGGGGGGAAGGGAGGAAGGAAGGAAGGAGCAGAGAATAGGTGAGAAAAGAACGGTGCATTGGGAGGGAAGAGAGTACATTCAAAAGGAGGACATCTGACAAAATTCTTTCTGTCTTGGGTATAGCCTTGACATCCATCGTAAAAAGCCAATGCAAAAGGACACTTACAATCATGTGTCTTGACTGCAGCGTGCATTCTCTTCGCAAACCGGATGACGTGACTGAGGCATCGCCACTTCCTTTCCTTTCCTTGGGCTACTTCTAAACACACGGAAGTTCTTGTTGGTTGCCACGTATATGATGAAGTTACAAGAGCTGTTGAGCACAATGACCAGCTCTTTGACTGCACGACAGATAGCAACCTCAACGGTTTCGGCGACCGTTACGTTATATATCTCATCTATTATGTATCGATAGGTTCCAGTGACGGCGAACACCAGGCAGACGGCAAGGAGAGTCCTGGTGGCTTGAGAGGTAGCCGCGCTTTTTGTCGCTGAGGACGATGACGTCATTTTTCCTCTTTGTCTCGCTGCCAATGCTATTTTGACGCTGATAATGGCAGATCCGCTAATTACGATCGAGAGGGGTACTATTCCTGTGAGGATGTTCAAAATTGAGAGCAGACTTTTTATAAGTGTGGGTTGTTCTTGTCTCAAAAACGAGGGTGCAACAACTCCAAAAGACGTATAGTTTGTTTGGACATAATAAAACCGATACCAATTTGGGCCTAGAATGATCATACTGCCAGAGTAGTAGATAAAGAATACGGCTACAACTGACCAAGTTCGGGCTGGAGTCACAACTGTCCGAAAGTAAAGGGGAAACAATATAGCCACAAGCCGCTCTATCGTTATAAGGGCAGGCACAGTCATAGAACAACACAAACCAACCATATGAAATGAGTTGAAAACGACATATGATATGAACAAAAATCGGCTTTCTGGTTCGGAGAAAGGGAAGCCGAAGCCACCGACGTACTTGTAGATAAACCAAGGGATGTTGTTGACTGCCACCAAAAAGGTTGCGTCTGCTGTACTGAGACACACAAGCAGAATGTTGGACGTTTTCTGAAGGCCGTTTTTGCTGATGATGACGATACCAATTAGGTTCCCGGCCACTCCCAAAATGGAGACAGTAGGGATGACTACTAAGATCAGCATCTTGACCATTGATTCAACAATAGCTAGACTGTTGGAACTCTCTAAGCCCTCCTGGTATCCGTCATCACTTGCCATGTTATCGCTGTCGTTTGCGTTGATTATTGAATTGTTGTTTTCTTGACACAAAGAACTCTTCAACTCTTTCCCATCAACGCCAAAGCATCTCTCGCTTGAAATGTTCCAGAAAACGAAGGTATCGTTTGATGATTTTATTTTTTGCATCTTTACGTTTCACCAAGCGGCTTTCTGAATGCTCAAAAGTTTTTATCGTTTAATGTCTTCCACTTTACCGGAAAACAATATCAACAACTGTGGGTTAACAATTTTAAAAAATACACTACTCTTAGTTTATATCTTCCGATTGGCTTTTCCAATCCAGACAAGGTAATAATTCTTAATCAAAATTCTCCCGTCCAGCAATCAATAAAACGCGGGGCTCACAACACGGCGCAAAATTCAGAGAATCTTGAAATCATTAATTACTTGTAGGTCACTCAATGCATAAAACATCATTTGTTTAGGGATGGCTGGTGCCTCTGTGAATATGATAGTCAATCAATGTACTTTGTTTTAAATATCCCTTGGAAATATAGTAATAGAATTACTCTCTATTATTACTGTTTTCCTTTTATTTAATATCTGTTGTTGGTCCAAATGGTAATCTTTCCAGTACGATAGGGGAACTTGATATACGACGAAAGTGGTCTTAGAATGTTGAGATTGCTCCTCACGTCACGTCACGTCATTCCTGGTTCATGTTTCAAAGTCAAGGAAATACAATACTGTTTAAAAAAGAAAAAAAAAACCCACAAAAGCTTGCAATTTTAGCAAAGAGTGAATTATGAGGTATAAGAAAAGTACAACATAAAAGGGACAAAATGCGATGTGCCATGTTCAAATTCAACAGCTCTAAGACAAGTTATGATAATGATAATTAAATATTGTATTTATATAGCGCTACATCCCATACAATATTAGAACCTGTATGCACTTTACCTAAATGACATGATCACTGAGCGCAAACCTTCATTCACATAAGAAAAAACATTTCGCATGAACAAGAAAACCAGTTCAACCGCACAAGGAAGAACTTTCTCGACCGTACATTAACCAGATTAAGTTCACCCAGGAGACTGCAAATTGGGCAATTATAATTGTTGACACACAATTTGATCATTCCAATACAGTTGTAGCCGAATAGGGCCTGCTAAGCATGTAATGGGACAAAACCAGTTATTTTTTTTAAATGCGCAGGCGACTTACAACTGTTCTCCACTTTTGTTTTCCGTTTTTTGAATCCAGTCGTTTCAGAGAATGTTCAATAACAACTTCTAACTGCAGCTTCTTCACTTTCGTCCGACTTCAGTTTTGAAAAAGATATAAAAAAAACAACACTAAGTAGTTTCATCTTCTTGGACCTTTGCATGCGGGTCGAAAAGTTGGAGGACCAAAAAAAAAAGCCATTAATGAAAGTCACTTCAAACAATGTTTACCACACGTTTTCTTTGATATAAGCCTATAGTGGGTCAAAACTTTAAAGGGCTTCCAGGCCATAGAAACTCACGCCGTGGGTAGTTGGAGGGTGCTCAGCTGGTGTGGTTTGCTTCTTCTTTCCTACCAAATGTCTTTCGTCTTTATCTCTCCTCCTTTTTGTGTTTGTTACTCTCTTGTAACACCTCCAATCTTCGGCACTTATGTGACCTT